ATTGTTTTTACATGTAATTGGGGGAAAATAAAATGTTATTTAAAATAATACAGTAAATTCAACAAATTATTTTTTAAAGAAATGTCTGTTTTTTCATTCTGAGTTTGATCATCTAACCATAAATTCTTAATCTGGGGTCCATTTAAAAACATTTTGGTAACTGTATTGTAACATAATGTTTCCCTTGTACTCCACTGTATTTCATTTTATGCATTTGAAGACATTATTCTGAGAACAGGTCCCTAGACTTCAGCAGATTGCTGAAGGGGTCAACAATGCAAAAACGCACTTGATCTGGGCAGAATTCTTTTTATCTCTTGGTCTGATCAGCCAGGAGTGGGAAAAAAAAAGAGCAATTTTTCTTCTGAGAAACAGGGGAAAGAAGAAGTGGGGATTCTGAGTAGGCAGCTTCTAGACCTGAACAGGATCGAGTCTTTTCTTTGCATTCTAACATAATCACTTCTGCAGCAAAAAAGAGAGGAAATAAGAGAGAAGAATTCTTTTCCCATCCCACACCCCATCCTCCTACTCCATCCAGATGTATCTAAATTGCACTGTTCACTAAGAAGGGACCAAATTCATGACTCCAAAAAAGTGATTTATTTTGTGGACTTCCAAATTTGTGGAGATGATTTTTACTATTTTATATGCTCAATACTTTCATGGAGTTAGTTTCTCTGGATATACTGTCCTAAAATGTGTAAATAGAAATATTATGGAATTAGGTACAAATTTACCTAGACACACCCTTGCCCCCCAAAATGAAGAATGGTTATAGTTTTATTATGTCAAGTAGCCCCTAGCCCCAGACCACTACCAGATATTTGGGGTGTCTTCCAGGGTTCACAGATATTGTAATCTTTAAACTCCTCTGTTTTAAGATTTAATTTGGTTTTAGCAAAAGCACAAAAGCCTTTGAGTATCTATGGGAAGTTCTTTGAAAACTTAGAAGCTTATACCCTCTGGAAGAGAAAAAAAAAATCTTATCTTTTTCAAGAATGTGTGGTGGAGGAGCATTTAGGTTGCACAGAGGATAGAGCACTGGCCCTGTGGTCAGGAGGACCTGAGTTCAAATCTGACCTCAGACTTTTTTTTTTATTAGTGCTAGCTGTGTGACCCTGGGCAAGTCACTTAACCCCAATTGCCTCATTAAAAAAAATAATAAGGTGTGATGGAACAAGACGTGCTTTATTAATTTTTAACCTGAGAAATGTACTCTATAGTAAGTAAGAAACTGATTTCGGGATTTTTAAATACTGCAGATTGACAGGTCTCCTGAAAGGCTGCATAGATCTTCTGAATCTGTGTATTTGGATAGTAACTCGTCTGAACAATTTTTCTCCACAGAGAGGACCTAAGGTATCCACCATAACCCAAAAGCCTCTACTCTCTCCCCAGATAAGTGCTTGACAATTCTTTAGCACTTAATTGTAAGCATGATTTGAAAGCAATTCAGTTCATAAGCATTATAATTACTTACATATTATTGATCATGAGAGAATCTGTGAACATTAAGAGGGCAATTGGAAACTAAACTGGATATTTGAAAGTCTCTTACTTGAACATTTGCCAGTTATAGAATATTGAGAAATAGGGGGAATAAGGAAATAACAGACTGTCAGCAGATATTTTGGGATTGGGTTTTCAGTTGCTGTAAGATATTGATGTTAAAAGTATTAAGATTTTCATTCTCAAACCTATTATATATATATATAATATAATATATGATATATAATGATATATAAACCTATAAGGAGAGAGATGGCCCAGAAGCTTCCTAGGCAAAGACCTTAATTAGACCCCATATATAGCACCTACTATGTGCCAGGCCACTGTGCTATAAATATTTCATTTGATCCTCATAACAACCCTGTGAAATAAGTGTTCTTATTATCCCCACTTTACAAGTGAGGAAACTAAGGCACACAGAAGTTAAGTCACTTGCCCAAAGTCATACAGCTAGGATCTGAGATCAAATTTGAACTCAGGTCTTCTTGAGTCCAGGTTCAATAGTCCAATCTATTACGCCACCTAACACTGCCACTTAGCTGTTGCAGTAATAGCCCTCATCTTACGTTCGCAGAAAAATCTTTTGACCATGACAGTAGACACTCAAATGGTTTCTGATGTCTTATGATGAATCTTAGTGTGCAGTCAGAGTCCACAATCAGAGGGATAAAAACTTGAAAATGAAACCAAGCCAAACACCAAATTTCCTGTTTATATTTCTACTTCTGTGAATTTGTAGGTGCCTGTAGGTGATGCTTCAGTCCCCAGAAGTCCATTTCAGATAGCTGTTGTGAGAATAGTGTCCATTTTACGTTGGCCACCTTCCCATTAAAGAGGCAGGGAAGTCATCCTTAAGATTTGATTGGTTCGTCCTTCTTGCCTGAGACTTTTTAAAGAGTATAAAACCTGTGGAGAGCTGCTGTAATTCCCACTGCCATACAAAATGTCTTTCTGACTCAGTATTGTCAACATAGTGACTGTGAAGTGAGAAGGGAACACCATTCATTTGAATCTGTGATGGTATCCTTTTTAAATCTTTTATTGTGAAATAATTCTTTTTATTTGAATTTTATGTGGTTCACAAATGCTTCTTCATGTTCCAATCCTGAACCTGAGTCATAGGACTAGACCAGGGGTGGGGAACCTGTGGCCTCAAGGCCACATGTGGCCCTCTAGGTCCTCAAGTGTGGACTTTTGACTGAATCCAAACTTCACAGAACAAAAACTCCTGTGGCCTTGACGCCACTTTCACAGAAGCTTGGATTCAGTCAAAGAGCCACACTTAAGGACCTAGAGGGCCACATGTGACCTTGAGGCCACTAGTTGCCCACCTCTGGACTAGACAGAGCTAGACTTAGCCCAGAACAGTAACTGAAACTTGTTAAGAGTTCTATGTTCAAGTGGATGGTACTAAAGTCTGTCCTATATCATTTGATCCTTATAACAACCTCAAGAGTTAAGAACTATTATTACCCCATTTTGAAGTTGAGGAAACAGAGTCAGATAGACAAATGACTTGCCCAGGATCACACAACTAATAAGTGTCTGAGGCTGAATTTGAACTCAGGTCTTTATGCATTGTATTTCAACTCTAAATTGGAGGTCTGAGTCTTACATTGCTAAGGATGATTGGAACCCACGACTCCAATCAAAAAATGGAAGGAGAGAGGCTATGGCCAGTCCTATACACATTACTTGGATTTGAGTAGATCTTGTGGTACAGTAAGCATTTCAATGCATGTGGGAACCAACTGATAGTACTACACAATAAGGCCTACCATATGGGCAGCCAGAACACAAAGGTTTCTTTGTTTCAAGAATCATGGAAGACTTTCCACTGGTGACAGCACTTGGAAGCATTGATCAAGCTCTTATAAAAGAACCCAACTTGGGGGGGTGGGGTATCTCACTTTCTCCTCAGACGTGGCAACATCCTCACCCTATAGCAGGTACAAAATTCAGCAACCAGAGTAAAGGTTTGAGGGGAGGGTGAGGGGGGCACAGAAGGCTGGAATTCATCCCAACCAGAACCATCAGCTTGTATCATTGCCCCGTGCTTAACAACTGTATCCTTGTAAGGTAAATAAAACTACTCTTAACTGTGTAACTACCAATCTGTTCCTAGTTTTAGGATGGATTCTGCAGCTTATTCAGACATAGGCACTTAGTAATTAATAAACATTTGTTGAATTGGATGGAAAAGAAAACTGATGAAAAGTTCTTAAAATGATGAGAGACCATGGCATATTTGTTTTTCAATCAACAATTTGGATACTACAAGTAATTTTTTAGTCATTCTGACCAGATTAACACCAATGATATTCTGAATGTTGTAAATCTGAAGAGTTTTCAAAACAAACATCAAATCTGGAACTTTTCATCCTTTTCTTTGGCAGTCTGGGGAAACCGATGAACTGCTTCTGAGAATGAGGTTTTTAAAATTCATAAAATAAAGATTATAAAGGGAGCTGATTCTATTGAAATACAGTTATCAAAATATTTTTTTAAAAAAATTCGCAGACTCAGGAACTCCTATAGTAGATGAATCAGTTAATGTTACTATTAATTATGTCTTAATGGGATCTTTTTTTTTAGTGATTCATTGCTTCTCTTAATGCTAATATTTGTGATGCATACTTAGTCACTATTAACCTCCGATTCTAGTATTCTGTTCTATTTTTCCAAAAAAGAGTAGTTAAACTTCTAGTGAGGAGTTTTACTTGCCATAAAGCATGTGTTGTTATTATAGGTCATAATTATTACAATAGAGAAAAACTGTAGTATGAAGGTAGATATCTCTGCATTTATGAAATCTCTATATGGTAAAAAATAGTTTGCTTGTACAGGAGCATATTTGTACCAGAAGACTGGAGAGTTTAAAGTAGTCTCTCCCTGTTAAAATAAATTGGCTAAAAGTCATTTTTTTAAAAAAAAAAGAAATTTGGGTTTGTTCTAGCCTAACACACTGACAATTTTGGATAGCTCCATTTAATTCAGCAAACATTAAAGTGCTTGCATTGTAAACTTGAATGAGCTGTGGGGCACCTAGTTGTAGATGGGTCTCAATGTAATTTAGTATCTTTTCATTCAGACATTTTAATGGTCAAGTTGTTCTACTTCTCAAGTTTCCAAACCTGATAATGACCCTCACCAGCTTATCTTTGCAGGAAATCCATATTTATAGGCAACACCTCGTTTTGTCTGAACAATTTGTTCAAAGGACGCTACATTCCATTTGAAAATGGAGAATTTTTTTTAAAATGGCTTTACATTTGCAATTGTGCCCCCAGGCAACAGGAAACTAATGTTTCAAAAGAAAACTTGATCCCACAGCTAGATAATGCTGGTTTCCTCAATAATGCGTGAGTGCCTGAAGGCTTTATGTTGTTGCCAGACATACATTTTTTTGATTGGTAAGAATTGCCAGGTGACGTTTCGTGAAATATAAAAACAAGAAAGACAGAGGGAGGCCAATAAACAGAACAACCTGTCAGTCGGGAAAGAAAAGGGAAAGAGATTATTAATGAACAGCAAGAGATGGCGCTTGGAATTCCATTGTACATCCTGCTCAATGGTAGGCATTCTCTGCTTCGTTCTCTGTGTTTGTCTGAAATGTGCATGGAATTACAGCTCTCTTCATTGAAAAGAAGTTAGGTTCCAATAACTTTGGCTTGTGACAAAGATTAAGGCCAGGAATCAAACTGGCACTCAGTTTGATTCTGATGAATGTTGCTTTTCTGATGTTTTGACTTTTTTTCTCTTGGAAATTATAATGATTCTATTTTAAAACAATTATAGTATATTTAATGCCTTAAACTAATTCCAATATCACTGTGTTTAGGTAGCTGAATTGATATATATCTATATGTATCTAGACATCCATATATACCTCTATCTATCGACACTTATATATACCTAGACAGAAATATATACTTCTATGGGTATATAGAGATATCTATATGAACCTACATGTGTATATTTTATATTATAGATGTATTATACATATCTATATGCCCATATCTATGTATGCCTATATAGAGATATATAAGATACATGTATGTATACATATATTTATACTTATATAGAGATATCTACATATACACACACATAGTATATATACCTATATATTATAGATAAAAGTATGTATATTGCACATATGTATATATTATATGTATATACATGTGTGTATATACCGTAAATGATCCTAGATTTAGAGCAAGAAAGGAACTGAGATAGAGTTCATTTATTCTAATACCTTCATTTTAAATGAGAGGAAAGTGAAGAAAGAAAAGGTTCAGTGATTTGTCCAAAGTCACCCAGGTACTATAAATAGCTCCAAATTGGGTAGTCTTTCCACCATAGCCCACCTTCTCTCTGTTCATTCTTTAAAAAATAATATTTTTCTTCTATCTCCTTTAGTCATAATAAAGGAGTCATCAAAATGATAATTTTACATTTTTAAAAATAAAAGAATGAAATATATAGCCATTTCAATTTGTTTATTCTTTTGGCTTCAATTGCAAGTGAATTCCTAGTAGCTCTAAAGCGCCCTGAATAGGAATGATTCCAAGCTGTGTTTCATAGACATGAAATAAGTTGCTTTGGGAAATTAACATGCCAGGTTGTTTTCTCTTTCTCCTTCCTAATACAGCCATGGTATCGTTGAGTAAAGAGACAACTGTTACCGTATCTACACCAATTACAAGCCAACAAAGTAACTGGACAGTTAACAAAACAGAAGGTATTTTCTTCCGTATATTTGTATTTCAAGTGATAGTTTAATTACTGTTAAAGAAAGCTGTATTCTGATGAAAGCCGGGTCAATTATTTAAGGTTAAATACTCTCCTTCAATAGGTAGCTTAGCAGGATACCTTCTCATGGGAGTGTTCTGATCTGCTCAGAGCAAAGGGTTTCAAAACACGTGAAAAAACCAACATCACATTTTTAGTTTAAATCACTGACCTGGAGGTGAAGGGCTGCACAATTGCCTACTGAGAATCTGAACCCAGGAGTTCCCTTAAAACTTGGATCAATCCAAGTCTTCTCTTGGTGAACAAAGACCTTATCATTTTAAACATTCTTGGTAATTGTCATCACAGCCTAGTATGGAATGAAACATACTTCAGCCAAGGGAACTCTGAAGAAAGTCAGCAACTGAATCCACTTTCTCTCCATGTTCAGAAAATTCTCAGCATCTGCAGAGCTCCTTAACAACCCAACCTTCCGAGTTTCTTTTAATTATGATTACAATAACTACTGGCAGCTTGTGAGCATCAGCATTTTTTCAAACCTGTTTGAACTCTCAGAGGTGAACTTGGAATGCTCATTACTTGCCAAGACCTGAGCACAAGTTTTTATGGTTCTCACGCAAGCCACATTCCCCATGCTGCTTTGAAGGTTAGCGATGTTATCAAGCAGAGAGGAAACACCATATCCTGACCTCATAGCTTGGCAGACAAGGAGGAGAGGAGGGCTATTCCAAATATTTGGTTTCAAAATATATGTATTCATAATATTGAAGTAGAAAAATCACCACTCTGATTTCTTGGCTCCCTTCCTGGGAGCTCCCTCCACCTATGAAATTATGTCTTCATGTCAGGACACACACATGCATGCATATACACATATAGTACCGATATATGGGTTCATATATGTATGTGTATATGTTACATATGGATGCATATATACACATAGTTAGATGTATATATACATGCATGTATGGCCCAATATAAACACTTACTAAGACTCTCTCTACCAATAGTTTTAAACCATAAAAATTTATTTTTAATCTACCTCTTTGCTTTTTGTCCTTTAAATATACAAACATGACAACAACCTTCAATAACTTATTTTTGTAGGGAATCCATATTTGTAGGCAGCAGCATTTTGTCTTTGTCCATGAAGACCATTCTGTTCAAATAGATGCTGATTTTCACCTAAAATTCTCAAATCATCAGCAGTGTGCCTCAGTTTGAGTTATAGTTGGTTCCATGTTTTTATGGCAGTCCTATCTAAGACCATTCTTTAAATACAATGTTTTGTGTCATCTCTGAAGAAAAATTTGGCAACATTTTACCTAGCTTTGTAGCAGTGATGTTTTCTTGCTCTCAAAAATAGAAGGGGGGCAGCTAGGTGGCTCAGTGGATAGAGCACCGGCCCTGAAGTCAGGAGTACCTGAGTTCAAATCTGGCCTCAGACCAAACACTTGACACTTACTAGCTGTGTGACCCTGGGCAAGTCACTTAACACCAATTGCCTAAAAAAAAAACCGAAAAAAAAAAAATAGAAGGAAAAAACTATCTTACTAGTGGCTTTCATATTTATTGGATTCTGAAAAATATAAAGCACCCCCTAAAGAACTTTGTTAATATGTATTATATCTATCAATATTTACTGTTTTCAGAATGAAAATTTCTTACTAACACTATAAAAATAATTTTGATACTGCAGACCCTTTGAAGGGGTCTTGGGATCTCTTTGCTCACACTTTGAGAGCCATTGCTCTAGAGGAATGATTGTGCTCATTTCTTTAATCTTCTCCTTTTCATTATCAAATTACCTAGACAAGAGCTAGGTATAATTTTGAGCTACTGTTCTTGATGAGTCTGTGTTGCTAACAAAATAACGGAGCTGGAAGGCCCTGGAGAATCATCCAGTCAGTTCAGAGTGATGAAGTGAGTCGGCCATCTTCATACAGTGATCAAGAATGTGTCAGGCTTTGAACTCTAAGCCTAATGTTCTTTCTATAAGAACAGTTCTCATTTCCTCAAATTTAAGCTGCAACTCAAAAGATTAGGTAATTTTCAGGATATACCTGTCAGCATCTGTGAGCAATTACACAACCTGTGTTTTAGAGACCCCATTCCTCTCAACTTAGAAAACCAAATCTTGGTGCTAAGGTTCCTTACAGAAAAGACTGTAAGATTTCCCTCCTTAAATGAGTATTGTGCCCTCAAAGGCGGAATGGGCCAAGGCAAAGGTCTACTAATAATTCTATGATTTATGGCAATCTATAATGTATGATTATGGAGTCAAAGCTGGAAGGGACCTTAGAGGTCATGTAGTCTAACTCCCTCATTTTGCTTAGGAGAGAAACTGAGGTCCAGAGAAGTTAAGTGACTTGCCATAAAGTAACAGAGGTGGTGAATGATAGAGTAGGATTGGAACTCTGATTCTCAGACTCCAGAGTTGCTGTGAGGTGAGCTCTTTCCTATAGCAATTCTTCTGGGTAGACTCTTCAAGTCATTGATTATTCCTTCTCCTTGAATTCCTCTGCTTCACCTTGGATGATCTAAGTAAACTGCTGGTATTGGGAGTACTGTGCTAAATACAGCCAAGTAGAAAAGGCCCCTCTCCATCACAATAGGAGTTAGCTGGAAAATATTGCATAACCCTTCTCTGTTTATTATTTTCCCCAGGGGATGCAAAGTTATAGTTCTCTCAGGCTCAAAAGAAAAAGAAAAACTGCACTCTATAATTTATTTTGGCATTTGATACATTGCAATATGCTCATTTATTCTGGGTAGAAGTTTGAATCCCAACTTTTTTGGGGCTTCTTTTCATAGTCACACCAGTTCATCAATTTTAACTCTTTAGGTTACAATAATGGATCCAATGGAAAAAAATGAAGTTATCTCTCCACTTTCTATTGTTATGTCTTGAATTTGTGTGTGTATGTGTGTGTGTGTGTGTGTGTTTGTGTGCGTGAGAGAGAGAGAGAGAGAGAGAGAGAGAGAGAGAGAGAGAGAGAGAGAGAGAGAGAGATTAAAAAAGAAAAGGGGAAAGAGAAGATAAGGAAGGCATGTTAGTACTCACCCCTGAGGCAAATCCTATAGAAATTTCCTATGCAGGTCTAGAACACTTTTCCTTTTTTTCAGAAGGCTAGAAGATTGAACTCAATATATCACATCATAGTGAGTGATGTATTTTGATACGTGGAAATGGAAAGAGAAAGAATAGTAATTATGTTTATTTTCATCCCTTCACTAAAGAAAATGATTAGTAAAGTGGTCATCAGTACAATGCTAAGAGGATAGAATCAATGCTGCCATCTTTGGGTGAGTTTGTGCACATACACTTCAAGTGCCCCTCATTCTGAACTTGAACATGAAAGAAAAACAATCCATTCCTCCCCTTAATTATTTAAAGACTTGGCTGTTAGGATTAACTACACTCTCTGAGCACCACTTGTCACAAGATCAGTTGTTCAAAAGTTGAGGCAGCTAAAGGAAATTAAAGGTGGGGGGGGGGGACTTCCATGGCTCTCTGGCCTTCTGACCCTAATCTATTTCTCATGCTTCCTTCTCTCAGCTAACTACACAGAAGGGCCCATAGCCCTGAAGTTCTCTCACCCCTGCCTTACAGACCATCATAGCTACTGCATCAATGGTATCTGTGCATTCCACCATGAGCTCAAGAAAGCTATTTGCAGGTAAAGGAAATGAGCCTGACCCTCAATCCTACCTCCCTTTCACCCTCTGCCCCCCATAACAGCATCTTGCTCAACTGATGATCTCAGATCAACTGGCAAACAAATCTACTCAAACCAACTTAAGGAGACACAGGGTCTGAAGGGGACTTGTAATGCCTTTTCCTAAAGAAATCAGGAATTTCATTTATATTTAATTTCTACAGAACCTTTTCCCAATGACCAAGACCATTTTACTAAACTGCCATTTCCCAGCTACCCCTGTGAGTTAAGGATGGGGAGGGGGCAATCCAGACCTGTGATTTCTTCTGGTGGAAACATTAGCAATTTATCTCTGATTTCTGCCTTAGACAGTTGCCTGGCATCAATCACCAAGAGCTTACGTGATTTGCCAAGAGTCAATTGTACAATTCAACAAACATTTATTAAATGCCCACTATGTGCCAGGCATTGGGCTAGCTTTGGGGGATATAAGGACAAAAGAGAGGAGGCTCTAGCCACTGCACCATCAACGGTAGCTCTCCTAAGGTAGTCAGGGAATAGTTATTATTGTACAGATGAAGATGCTGTGACCTAAGCTGCCTTTGCAATAGTGAAACAAGCAGGGGATGGAAATCAAAAGAGCTAGCTGCCTATCAGTGCTGTTTTTATGCTTGAGTAAGCTCATGGGATTGTAGAATCATAGATAAGACACAGAAGTCACTGAGTCTCCCCTCATTTTACAAATTAGGAAACAGAGGTGCATTGAGGTGAAAGAAATGACTCAACCAGTGTCTCACGGATGTTAAGAACAAGATCTGAGCCCATGTTCTATGAGTCCAAATACAAAATTACTTTTTTCTCCAAGCTTTCATCTCTCTATCTGAAGCGACATTTGGTGCAATGGACAGCATGTTGACTTCGCCATCCAAGGACTTGGATTTGAATCCTGAGTTTGCTGTTTATTAATTGGGTGGCTTTGGGCAAAGGCATTACTCCCTTCTCTGGGCCTCAGTTTCCTCAACTGTCAAATAACAAGGTTGGGCTCACTGGTGTTTGAGGTCTTTTCCAGCTCCAAATCTATGATTCTCTGAGCTATAAAATGTCCCACCTCAGACTCATTCATGTAGGGTGTGTAACCCTGAGTAAGCAACTTCTTTCTGGGCCTCATTTTCCTCACCTGTAAAATGAGGACGTTGGACTGGGTGGTCCTCCAGTGATTCAAGCCATTCTCTAAGACTAGGTTTCAGAAAAGTTGCAGATCTGTACTGATGAGGGCAGGTTCCTCAGCTGAGAATTCCCTTTGCTAGTGAAATTATAGACGAGACACTGGATTTTTACTTAGACACTGAGTTTTCATTCTGATAGAAGGAAACACACTTAAGACTTTGATAAAATGATCTTGAGAAAAACAACAATGACCTTATTTAGTAACGCAATGCTTTTGACAGAACGAGGATTATTTCCTATCTATAATTCCTACCTTTCAAATTTAGATGATTTCCCTGTTTCTACAGCAATTTTTCTTGCATTTCAAGCATTTGTTGATTCACTGAAACTTGGATTTCTTTTGTACCTCTACCACTAACATTTTTAAAATATGTATATATATTTTAGATGCACTACAGGTTATACTGGAGAAAGATGTGAGCACTTAACACTAAATTCATATGCTGTGGATTCTTATGAAAAATATATTGCAGTTGGAATTGGTGTCGGATTGCTATTAAGTGTCTTCCTTGCTATTATCTACTGCTATGTAAGAAAGAGGTATGGATCAAGAAGGAATGTGGCATGGACAGCATTGTATTGAAATTCAGACCACAAATCTGGCAGGATCATTCATGACAGCAGTTCTGGTACCTTTTTCTTTGTTTTGTTTTGTTTTGTTTTGTTTTTCCCCATGAATCCTAAGAAAAGGAGATGGAAATGCATACCAACATTCCCCTTACTGCCCTGCACAAAGTTCACATTTAGTAAATATTTATTGAATTGAATCCTCAGTGGCAGCGTATAGCTATAAATTTCAGCCTTTATTACCATGCCCTCCTAGCCCCATCAAAGGCAAAAATTAACAATCTCGTAGTAGTGCCCAAGCTAAGATACCCGCATTGGGATTCTGGAAACAACTTTCCAAAAGTCAGAGCTCATAAACAAGCTGTCATCAGAATAATGTTATTTATCACTCTCTATGATCACCTAACACTCCCCTTCTCATCTTCCCTCTCCCACAAACTCTAAAGCCTTCTTTCCTGCATTGGTACCCTCTAGCTCTTGGAAGAACACCCTATTCTGGTGTTGTTGGGTGTATTTTTTGGTGGGTGGGGTGAGAGAATTAGTAAGGCTCTTCCTACTCCCCTCCCCCAAGCTCGGAACTAGAACACATAGAATCATAAGAGGAAAGGACTTCAGAGGTCATATAAACTTAATTTTACAGATGGGGAAACTGAGGCCCAAGGCAGTTAGTGACTTGACTAAGGTTATGCAGTCACAATGTCTAGTAGACATTAAAAAAAAAAAACAGATGTTGAACTATCCCCTTATTCCTTTCTTTTTATTACTGGTATATTAGGAAGAGAGTTGGGTTTGGAATCAGAAAGAGTTGGGTACAAATCCTTCCTCTAACACATACCTGCTCTCTGAGCCCGGACAAGTCACTAAAATTTTCAGCACTCTATCCAAATTCTTAAGAATCTAAGTTGCAAAGAAGGCACAGACATCCGTGGGTAGTAGAAGTTTCCTTATCTCTGCAATTCCTTCCATCTATGAAATCACAGGTATAGTCTCCATGCCAACTCATGAAGATTTAGAAGTAGAAGAAGGGAGGATAGAGCTGATTTTGTTTTACCTTTATGGATGTGGATGTGATGGCTATGGTCAGGGAGGGAACAGGAAAGGGAGGATAAAATTTGATATTTATATCACATATACATCAGTTGTAGAACTATGTAAAAGATCACTATTGTCCTATTTCACGCATATCTTATCAGATAATGTAAGATCCAGTTATATTACTGACTGAATTGATATCAGTCTTATTTGTACAATTATCTTTAGTTGTCGAACTGGTATTGAATTCAATTCTTTGTTGTAGGTGCAGGAAATTTCATGTAAAAGATCTCCACTGTTTGTGCCATTTGAAGCAAACCCAACAATATAGTATAAGATTTTGTAATATTGCTAACTAAATTTCTCTCAGTCTTAGTTTGTTCTACAATTATCTACAGTTGTTGAATTGATATTGAGTTCAATGTTTTGTTTTAGATGCATGAAATTGAAACCTCTTTATAAAGTCTGCTATGGAGACAAAAGGCCATGGTGAGAAGTGAGCATAACATTATCGGTCAAAGCAGATGTGGATCAGAACTGAACCAAAATTTTCCAAGGGAATCCAGCAAAATACCATGCTTTGGGTGCATGAAAAAAGAAGAGGAATATATCAAACCCTTGATATTCTAACTTGTACTCTGAGTTCCCATGTCATGAGGAAATGGACACACTCCATTTTGACAAGACTTAACAGCACTGATGGAGGTTATCATGGGAGTTCTGGATGCAAGAGTCATTGATTCTCCCTAAGTCTTTTTTGGTGTTATTTGATGTTTTTATTCTGATATGTCAAATGTGGATTACTGCAGTCATTCCTGCAAGAGCCAATCAATTCAACACAACACACTCTTGTTTGCTATAGAAGAGATTTGCATTTAAGCTATAGGTTGGGCTACATGGCTTCTGGGAGCCCCTCTAGCTCTGAGAATCGGTTGTTCAAAAGTTCCATGGCATGTGGATGGGAGAAAAGAGACATTTTCACAGGACTCCCCCACTGCCAGGCCACAGTTTGGAAAAGAACTATTGCCATAATTGCTCCTGAGGCTCGTTGTCAACTGGCAAATAGAACTAGCCCCTTTGGGGTTCTTGTCTGTCCACAGTGTGGACCTACCCCCTTTAAACAAGCTACTTCTATGGCACCTGAGATGAATGTGATAACTATTATTAAAACAAAACCAGTGTTATTGAGGCTCCAGTGGCCCAGGCATGAAGTCAAAGTGCTAACTCTTGTTTCTAGAACGAAAGGTCTGTAGAAACTTTATAACCAAGTGACCCCATCCCTGCAATGCTTATTGAGGGAGGCGGATAATCTTCAGAAGAAGCAAGAGTCTCAAAGCCAGTGACCATTGTCTTAAGGACTCGAAAATGAGCAAAGCCTTTCTTCCTCTGAATGGATCATAAAATATTTTGCCCCAAACATACTCGTACCCTTGATTCATAGTCTCTTCCTGCTAGCAAATGTGTGACTTAATGAGTGGCCATGTTGCAGCAATAAGAAAATAGTCCAAAGTGATCTATGGTCCAGAGTTAGCCCTTAAGTTTGGACTCACAGGATAAGCAAGGTCATTTCTTCACTGGCATATGACATACGGAATTTTTCTTCGCAATTCCTTGACTTATGTAGATACATGGAAGATGTTGAGATTGGAAAAAGTATAGCAAAAAGAGTATTAAATCAGAAGTCAATAGATCAGGACTTCAGTTCAAGTTGACTACCATTAACTAAGTGGGTGACCTTAAGCAAATAACTTTCTATTTTTAGGCCAAAGTTTGCTCTGTAAAGTATATGAGATGAACCAGAGGATCTCAAATAATAATAATGATGATGATGATGATGATGATGATGATGATGATGATGATGGCAGCTAGGTGGCACAGTGGACAGAGTGCTGGGCCTGAAGTCAGGAAGACCTGAGTTCAAATCTAGTCTCAGACATTTACTAGCTGTATGACCTGGAGCAAGTCACTTGACACTGCTTGCCTCAGTTTCTTCATCTGTAAAATGAGCTGGAGATGGAAATGGAAAACCACTCTAGTATCTTTGCCAAGAAACTCCCAAATGGGGTCATGAAGAGTCAGACACGACTGAAATGATTGAACAACAATAAGAATAATAGTAATTATTATAAGAACAACAACAAAAATAATAGCATGTATAAAGCATTCTATGGTTGGCAAAACACTGTACATGTTAGCTCATTTGATCCTCATAACAACTCTGTGATATAGGTGCTATTGTGGTCTTTTTTTTTTT